CAAGCCTGGAAAGAGAACGTGCAAGGTTTCGTCAGGAAAAAAACTTCTAAATATATATGGATACGTATTGGGAGTTAAGTGTCTGAGTTGGGACCAGAAATTTAGAAGAGCCTGCTATACCAGTAAACGTGGTGCAAACATCGGGTTTCACAGTAAATAGGCAAAGTGAAAACATATGTAAGTCGAAAGATATAAATACTAGTTGGTAATTCTTAGCGTTAAGAGCTTGTTTTTAATTTTCTAAATTTCGTTCCGAAAAGGCAACCTTGCTGAAATCCAGGAAAGCTTTTTTTCAGTCAGATTAGTGCATTCAAAAAATCCATTTCTAAAACACCCTAGTTTGCCTTCTATCTTAACAGTGCAGAATAAATACAAATTACCGACAAACAAAATCACACGATTAAAGTTGGTATGACAGTGTAAATATAAAGGATAGTCGATTAATTTGCAGTTCCTAAAACATCAACTCTACAAAAACACGTAGGACGCATTTCATGCGTTAGTTACTTGTTAAGAGAAAGACTGCTTTTGATGCTACACAATAAAGGCCTCGCAAGAAATTTTACGGGCGTCTTGTATTGACTAAATGTGAAAAGGGACTAAACCACGGCCAATATTGCAAGGACGAATTTCCTATTTACTAAGAAAATGAAAATGGAAAATCACTTTTGTTTTTTAAACATAAATACACACGACGTGGTGAGGGATGAGAACAAAAATATTTTTTTGAAAATTTTTCCATTCACACAAGAAAGCTGGTATTGAAATACAAAGTTTCAAAACAACAAGGCGCTCCTAAAGGCCAGAATAGGAAGTCACTTAAATCCTTAATAAAAATGCCGTCCAGCTTGAATTTTCATCTGATCACTAAGATGTATGGACTATATACAGCGGACTATAGTCCACATAAGTCCTATAGGGCGTCCTATAGGACTTATGTGTACGTACATGCCACCAGCTCAGGTATTTTTTCACATGATAAAAACAATGGGTTACGTGCAAACCTTGTCTTAAAAAACTGTTTTGGAGGGCTTACCACAACCGACTCGACATCGTTGTTCATATTGTTTGACAACGAGTAGCCAAACAATTCCCTACCTATTTCATTTGTGGCACGCGACGACCTATAAATATCTGCAGGCACAGGTCTGCATACATCACGTAGCGAACGACACCAATTAACGGATCCTGACGAACCGTCGAAAGGGGCGCCAATTAGGATTCTTAAAAAGGTCAAAATATCACGTAAGGTACCCCTTCTCTATATAACTCTTGTTCATTCCTGCGAGAGAAAATCCAAATTCCGTGTGTGGATATCCCTTTTTTAAAACAGGGGCGAGCGTGTCGATGTTGAATGAAAGCACTCCATGGGGTAAAAAACTAAAACCAATGCCACAGACAACGAAAACCACGCTTGTTAAGAACATGTCATTTGGACAGTGCGCTATTGTCATACCAAAAAGCGGCAGGTTTGCTCAGCAAGTTTGATTTGTTAAAACAGCGTACGGTAAATAAAATATTAATAGACGCGTATGGATTTTTATTCATCAGTTTCCATTTTTTGTTAACCCACTTATTCACTGCACGTGAAATGATTGTATGTGCATATTCTCTACGTTATTTTCTTATAAACGTAATGTAAGCACTTCTCACAATCTTCATCTTTTCGCTTGTTCCATACTTTGCCCTGAGCTTGAGGGTCTTTAGAGGTTGTTGCTGTTATTTTGGAACAGAGCTATTTTCTGAGAAAGGGATACTTCCCTTATTGCCAAGGCATTCGAAATAAATAAGACTTTCCGGTAAGTTACGTTTCAGTCGGTATCTAGATGACTTGCCACTAATCTAGGATGACATATTATCGTGATTATGGTTTTCATGACCAAGCTTTATCGTGATACTCATAATCTTGATGGTTGTTAGATTGTTTAAGTTGTTCGGTTCTTCAATCTGTCGCCATGTATCAGTACGCCTGCGACTTCTCCCGTTAAACATTGTTCGAAAATAGTCACTGTTAATTCCACACCATATCAATCTATTTCGGCAGCTGAGTAAGGGAACATATGAATATAATCTCAGATGTGTTGAATCCAAATTGAAACAAATAGCGTGGCAATCTGTGGTCTAGTGCTGCGTTCCCCAGAGGAAAGGGTGTCAGCTACAACGTATCTGACGTTAGCAATGAAGAACAACAAACCTTTCGATGATGAATTCGCGGGTCTTATTGTTTTAAGTCGTTTAGAGCAATACGGCACCCAGCTCAAAGTACAGTTTTTTGAATTTTTACATTCTGTTCAATGAGTGGGTTCTATTATCATGTAGTTGTCTGACGAGTTGTAAATATTGCCGAACACGAGAAGCTTGATATTTGGTCTGAAGAAACGAACCATTGTCGTTTTTGAAAAATGTTTACAACAAGAAATATCGACCTTTGGATGAGGCTTTCTACAAGGACAGGTGAAGCTTGTTCCGCAATTTGGACGGCTGAACTATCTGTTGCTAAATAGGTTATCTCAGAGTCGACATTAAAGTGTAAGTCTTTCAGATTTACGCAAATAGACACGTTTTGTCAACGGTCAACCCCGAACATCTAGACGGAATGCAAGATATTTTCGAATTAGAGTGAAGATTTATTTTATCAAGTTTTAAGAAATGATCAGATAGACACATTTAGCCTCCCCTGGTACGACAAGTGCGTTAGTTCATCGACCATTTTCGTTGATCTGGTGAAGCTGCTGGCATTTCATATTGTAGGCGGGGTCTCACATATACGCCGAAAAGTCTTCAAATGTGTTCGGGAGGAAATATTTTAAATGTGCGTTTACTCCAGTGTAAAGTGCTAGTTGCCTTTTTTTATGTATGTCTGTATTTGAAGGGCTACAGACAGAGCACTTGATGACCCTACTTATATACAATGCTTTCGCAGATTCGCACGCAAAATAAAGTTGCAGACATTTACAGTATGATCGGATCACATATTACTCTGCATATTACTCCGCTACACAAAGGAGGTAAAAGGGCAGCGACGAAAAATTACCGGCCCACAAGCTTGACCTGCATTCTCTGCAAAGTTATGGAAAGGATCATAAAGTGTGAACTGATGCACTTCCTGGAAGTCCACGGCCTGCTATCGAGCTACCAACATGGGTTCCGAAGAGGAAGATCCTGACGACAAACCTGCTGCAATCTCTCCAGAGCTGGACCCGAGCTCTCGACAACAGGCACACGGTCCATATAGCCTTCCTCGACTTCCAGAAGGCATTCGACACTGTGCCACACCAAAGGCTCTTACATAAGCTGAAAAAATAGGGATCGGTGGCAACCTCCTTAAATAGATCGAAAACTTCCTTGTGTGTCGACACCAGGTTGTGTACGTCGGTCGGGGAAAACCAGATCCGGCTATGGTCGATAGTGGTGTCCCCCAGGGTTCAGTACTGGGACCCATTTTGTTCCTTATCTACGTGGACGATGCCGCAAGAGATTTAGACTGTGAAGTAGCAATGTTTGCGGATGACATGAAGATATGGAGTGTAATTCGGGGTCCTGCCGATGAAGACAGACTGCAGGTGCACCTGAATCGGTTGGAGGAGTGGTCGAACCGTTGGCTCCTGCGGTTCAACGTTGCCAAATGTAGCATACTTCGTCTAGGCAACACAGCCAGATCCGCCAGCACAAGAGGATACTTTCTGGGCGGTGCAGCCCTACAAGAGGTCGAAGCCCAAAAGGACCTCGGTGTGCTTACGACGAGTTCCCTAAAACCATCCGCCCACTGTTCGAAGGTGGCAAAAAGCGCAATGTCCGTACTGTACGCCATCAAGCGTGCGTTCATGGACTTTGACGAAGACTTTCGGAACATTCGTCCGGCCGCATTTAGAGTACGGCATACAAGCTTGGAGGCCGTGGGCTGTTGAGGATCAAAACTGCCTCGAAAGAGCCCAGAGGAGAGCCACGAAGATGGTTAGGGGTCAAAGCTCCTTTCTTTATGCAACCCGCCTAGTAAATCTGAACCTCTTTCCTTTGAGTTACAGCCCACTTCGCGGAGATCTCTCGCAAGCCTTCGGCATTGTAAAGGGGTTGGATTGCAGTCTGTCCTTCGAGGACTTTTTTTTAATTTGCTACCACGACCAACCTCCGAGGTCACCCGTTAAAACTGCGCACTCAGCAGGCACGGCTGGATGTGCGGAAGTTCTCCTTCTCGGTTCGGGTGGTCAGACCATGGAATGAGCTTCCCGCAAATGTTGTGATGTCACCATCTATACAAAGTTTTAAGAAGAATCTGGACATATTTGTGTTCCGAAATGACCAAGAGCGATGAGAAGTCGAGCTCACCCCCTGTAACTCCATCCCATTTTGTCCCACAATTATGGGCGTGTTCGAACTATTTCAGCCCAGAACATCTACCTGTACACCACACTTTTTTACGATGCAAATAGAGTACTCAAAGGCTTACGCCTATCTCCCTCAATAAACTGAACTGAACTGAACAATCGCAATGATAAGGAAACGCATCTGTTTACTGTAAGTCAGTACGGAAATATTGTGTATGGCAAAGTGTTTTACAGAGCTGGCTGTGAGTAATCATGTTGTAAAAGTCGGTTTCTGCCTTCTGAACTATCTTTCTACAGTTTTTGATGACATTAGACTTTTATTCGTTCATACATTCAGAGCTCAGTGTCCTTCTACAGCTTCTAATGCCATCCCGTTAAAAGAGTACTGATTTATGAGAGGGGCATGTTGCCGGGGTTTAAGTGCGAGACCATGCATTTGAGCACATTAAACTTTAAAATCCATCTGTTTGACCAGACACTCCGTTTGTCGATGTTCGACTGCAACTGCTTTGCGTCATCGTCGCACCTGACTTCATTCCATAGTTTTATGTCACCCGCGAACATGAGAGCTCCACAACCTAGTTCGCTGATGCATTCATTTACATAAACCAGGAAGAGTAGTGGGCTTAAAACAGCATCCTGTGGACACCATTTTCAACTTACTACTTAATTTGCTATGTTTAAACACACAATTCATAGTCCACGAGGTACCGGCAGCTACACGAGTGCACACATTCACTGTTAATCTGAACCCATGAAAAGGATATCTGACGTATACGTTGTTAGTCCCAAGCGTATTGCTGAAAGTCTCTAGAACGATAACTGCCTGTGTCCGCGGTATTCAGTAATCAAACATTTTCCGCCAAGTCGTTTTGATTGCAAAAAGCAACCTAACTGTTTACGCAACCATATTGGCTTCTGCGACCTTGTTCTAGCACATGATCAAAACCATTCCTTTTACTCCTCCGTACAAGGGTCCACAGGCGCCCGAAAGACAAATAAATTGCCTAAACATAGGTTTATTTTCTCCTGAAGTTAATTTTAATGCTAAACTTAAGGTTTCGCACATCTTTCTTCGCAACACTCAACTCTAAGTTGGTTGCCTCTCTAAGACAGGGTCTAATGACTTTGCGTCTAATGGTTTGAAATATATCCAAAGTACGAAACAGAGCAGAAATATTAATTCCCGGAAAATACGTTTCCAAACATTTAAATCTCCAGCTTATTTATAAATAACAACTAACATTGGTAGCAGAACCGATTATTGCTTTAGATTTCCATACGACGTATGGAGTTCACAGCTTACATACACGTCTCCAAATTTTTTTCTAAATACCATCGGCAAAAGCCCTGCTGTTCGAACTACACTATATCTATATTATTGAATGCCAGGTCTGTTAATAACAAGATGGCTCAAATCAGGGCCATTTCTCTCAAAATGACGCCTGATATTATATTTATAATAGAATCTTGGACCCATTTTCTAATTCATGAATCTGCCCTTCCTATAGATTACTTCGATTTTTATCCTCTAGACCGCACTACTAGGCGTAGGGGCGGTTGTCTTCTTTATCTTACATCCTACTTTAAGCACTCTCCCTATTACCTGGATATTTCCTCATTCACAGGAAACTTCTGCTTTGCATCTGTCATTCTCTCGCCGCAAAGAAAGGCAATTATTGACTTTATCTACAAACCCCAAACTATTCAGCCACTGATGTTTCACAACTTTGTGAAATCTTTAAGTCAATTTCGAAAGCTGCTTTTGATGTTAAAATAATCACTGTGGATTTTAACCTTCCCGAAATAGACTCACTTTCCAATACCTGTCCACCTAGATTCCAGCCCTTCCAAGATATTGCCAATTTTTCTAACTGGTCCCAACTGGTGCGCTCTCCAACAAGTGATATTCACACTTACATCTGATTTTTACCAATGATATGACCCTTCTTTTTGTTGCTCCCAAAAAGGACCCTTATGATAATGACCACGTATTAGTTCATTGTTGCTTACCGCATCCATTTTCAAAAAAGACCAACACCGCTCGGACATACCTAAACTACGATTGCGTAGATAACGACTTAATAAATAACTATATTGCTAAGGCCCGTTTGTGCGCAACCGTTTAAAATCCTCCGATCCGAGCTAAATTGAAACTTGTTTAAAATTGAAATACTTGACATATGACGTGTTTAGCCATAATAAAACCTCATGCCCAGGAAAACATACTTGTGTGATGCCTCTACTCCCTTCCAGAATGTAGCAATGGTGACACAAGCCTCAATCACTTAATAAACGATATAGGTAATATAAAAACTGAATATAAGACAATCGCAGACGACCTTAACCGCCCAGAAATAAAGTGGTTCGAATTACCGGCACCTACCAGGCACGAAGAATTGTCATCTTCAATTATCTTTATAATCTAGACACAAATAGTTGACAAACCCGCCCGAATAAACAATATACTAGACGTTATTTTCACCAAGGACATCTGACCCCTCTATATGCACTACGACTGCGTAACCTTTGAAATTGACCACAAAGCCATAACATCAACACTCCCCTTAAAAGCAAAATTAGCACCCCATTTTAGTAACATCCGCCTAAATCCAAAAAAACTTGACAAAACCCCCATGAACAACTATATAAGGTAATCGGATTGGAGCCCTTTTCTTCTAACAACATCGCCTATGGACGCAGTTAACCTACTGTACTCTGTCCTATATATAATTCGAGATACTTTCATAGACGAAAGACTTCCGTATAAGAAACCACTAATTCCACACTTCCTTCAAACTAAGCTAAAAAAACTAAAAAAACAGCTTCACAACCCATCTGTAAGTTATTTATCTACACTTCGACGAAGTAGAGAAATTCAAGACCTAGTTACGAAAATGGAAACACAAAACACCATAGCCGCAAAACATCGGGCATTAGAATTCCCTAAACGAACAGCTCAGATGTTCAAGAAACAAATGACTAATCATTGGCAGTCAGGACCACGAACTATTATTAATGAATTAGGAGAAGTTATAACCAATGACAACCAAATAGCAAACTCATTCAACAAATAATTCTCAATTAACTACACAGTCGAGGAGGGAGCGACTCCCCAACTGACCGAAATGACAGAACGCATCCTTACTAAGATCCTTTTTATTGCAGAAACTGTTAAAGTTGCCGTTAAACAACTATTCAACGCTAACTCTAATGGGACGGACAAAATCCCCCATGTATTCTGAGGCATATGACATATGCTCCAATACTCCTATCTACGTTATTTACCCTACTCCAGTCAAATGCATTTTTTCCGGACATGTGGAAATACTCAACCACCGCACCTATCTTTTAAAGCGGCAACCGATCTCATACCCAAAACTATCGTGGTGTTCACAGAACACCGGCTATAGCTAAAATCCTCGAAAAAATAGTCTACAACCAAGTACTAGACCATCCCATAGACGCCAAGCTCATTCCCTCCTCTCAGCATGCATTTTAACCTAAAAAGTCGTGTCAGTTCTACCACCTAACTTTTTTGGAATTCGTTTCCAGCAATAGAGATGATGGAAACACAGTAGCTTCAAGATACTTCGATCTAACCAAGGCCTTTGACAAAGTCCCCCATAAAAGACTACCGATAAAGTTAAAAAGTCATGGAATTAGGCCTCCCTTTTTAGATTTTCTTAAATGTTATCTTCAAAACCGACATCGATTGGTGCAAATTCGAAACGTAGTCTCAGAACCACTCCCTATTACCAGTGGAGTACTTCAAGGCACTATCCTAGGCCCGCTTCTATTTCTCATATATATTCACGACTTATCGTCCACGTCAGTAACAGCTAGGACGTTTTTATATGCGGACGACCTTAAACTTGCATATGCATAAAACGGGAACACAGTTGCCAATATTCACAGAACAATTGAAAATGACCTCAGAAACCTCAGCGAATGGAATCATCAATGGCAGAAGCCATTTTCACCCGAAAAATGTCATCTCCTGAACTTTGGCCCACAAAACTTCCGCCCATAATTTGCGAGGATAATGAAGTAACGGAGACCCTATCGGTCTTAGTCCAGACAATTATGACAAGCCTCCTGAAAAAACACGAACAAAATGTGCGACCGCGCTTTTACAGCTTTTTACGGCGGGCCACTTACTTGTCCGGTCTTCTCTACTGCAATTATCTTTGAGGCTGCTGCTCCTTCAAGGGTTGGCTTGAGATCAGTACCGTATGTCAACTCTGAATTGCATGGATCTTCAGCGTCACTCATTCTTCAATCAGAAAGTCAAGCTAGTGCGTAACTCAGTAGAGGGAGAACGGTCTGTACACAGGAGATTTATATAGTGAAATACGGTATAAGGGGACAGAGGGCGTATAGTCTCAATGAAGATGGGGGATAACAGCGGTCAAAAGGAATTATTAAGCACTTCACTGCTGTGGTTATGGGGTATACATTACATTCATTGGAGTCGTCTCCTCAACTCCGTTTGGACACTCTTTCTTGTCTGTAAAGTGAAGAAGAAAAAGACTCGTCCGAAGCACAGCACCACAAATCGCCGTTTCGTCTTTTTTGACTTCCCGCCAACTTCGCCCCAGTCTGACACTACAGACTGACAACCACCAACTGGAACACGCCAAAATTTACCCAACTGGAAAATACTTTCAAGGTCAGGCCGATATCAAAGTTCTTTAATTTCGATGAAGGACATATTATTCATGCCCCCCCTCCCAGAAACTGCCAAATTGCACACTTCAATTTTTATATTATACATATCGTTCTTTCTTAAAACATTTGTTATTATTTTTCCGTGGAAGTCAGGTTTTTTTTAACTTAAAACAAGCTCTCAATTCGTGCTTTATTGGCTAAACGGACACCCAAAACAAATGAAGTCAAAGTGCAGTCGAAATGGTGAGTTTGTTTCCTGTGTTCAAGGGAGACTGACAGTGCCCAAAGGGCGTTATAATAAACCTATTATGTTCTATTCTATTCTATCATTGGATTGGTTTGGCTTTCTCTCATGTGACCATTCTTCGTGATGTCATGTCCAATGTTTCCAAGGACATCCTAGTTTGTGCCGCATAGGTATCTCAAATCCAATTCTTTAGATTTCCTTGCCTTTACTTTTTTTGCAAAAGACCGAAAACTTTGAGACAGCACTTGGGTGACCTATCCACTAGCTCTTAATCCGTTCATCTTAGAGTCACAGAGATTTTTGAAGTGGCCTCACGGATGCGCCAAGCGCGCGACAGACAAGGAGAACCACTTGCTACCAGTGATCTGGACGCTGGCAAATCCATCACTGAAATCTTCTGTTATGGATCCTCCTCGAAGCGTGGTCACTAAATACCACCCCTGATAAAAGATAACATAATATCCCTCATTGATGACATTGACAAGGCGGATTTGTTAAGTGTTTTCTTCGCAAAACACCTTATTACTGAGTCCGACCCAGGCCCTTTCTTTCGCTCACTTTCAGATGGGACACTGAGTACAATCGATGTCTCCTCAGATCTTATTAGAAAGTTTTTATGAGCAGCCATCATGGCAACATCGCGCCTCTCGCTGGCGCCTGCGCCTACGCCCTAGCGAGAGCCTGCTTGGGCCCGCACGTCTGCCCAGCTTCGATTTGTCTCGCTGAAACTATTTCTGCATCACACATCTGGTCGATTCTCTGCCTACACCATGCGAGGATTGTCCCTGACTTCGCGTGGGTTCAGAGCCAATGAACGTAACCTCTCTCACTGACTGGTTACACATCGGACAGAGTAAACCACTGGTGCAAACAATCTGCCACGAAATGTTTGCGGTGGTGACTTTCTGCGACACACAGCTGGTCGTTCTGGCAGACGCCTCATTTCCCGGCGCCGGATGCACCTTCTTCTATTTTTCCGTTCGGAATAAATAAATAAAGTGTTTCGGTGCTCGACTCTTCTTCTTTAATCATGCACACACCTAGAGTTAGAAATTTCGCCTTCTTTCATAAAATTTTCTCCCCAACTGACGTCCCACTTCTTACTACATGGGATATGGCCTGAAGTTGTGGCGCACTGAATATACACTATTAGCGCTTAGCTGCTACAAAACGCATAAGTCCTTTGAAAACTCACACCGTTCGGGAACGAACGAGATTCCAAATCCGCTTCGTAAACAGGCATCCGACCTTCGCGTATTGTTTAGTCGTTTATTCCCTAGTTATATTTGAAAAGGATTCTTTCCTGAAACATGGATAAAGTCATTTATCCTTCTTGTCATCAAGTTTGGATCTCTGTCCGATGTTAATAACTTTGGGGGTGTGCACAAAACACGGTCTCTAGCAAAACGTCTTTGAGGGATTGTCTTCAGTGAATTTCTCGATCGATCCTGCGAAACATGACACTTGACATTTCTTATCCTAATCAATTCGCCTCGTAATGAGCAGCAGTCAGTGGTAGTTATCTACTTTGGTCTTAGCGAAGCCTTCGAAAGTGTGCCCCATAGAAGTTTTTTGGTAAAATTAGAAGCTCTCGGCATCCGGTCACCTCTTCTCGACATTATCCGGTCCTATCTACCCATGGATATCAGAAAGTCATGGTTGGTAATAGCTACACGACACCTCACTCGATCACGAGTGGCGTACTTCAAGGAACGGTTCTGGGTCCGCTACTCTTCCTTCTTTACATCAATAATATTTCGACTGAACTCAGAAATTCGCAAACGTTTACTTATGCCGATGACCTCAAGTGTGTTTACATATATTCTAAACATACCTCAAATGTTTGTGTGAAAAAAAAATTAATGCCGGCTTACTATGCTTGAGCAGATGGAGTTCAACATGGCAGATGCAGTTTCCAACATCCAAGTGTAGTTTCATGTCTTCTGGTCCTGCCACCTCCCTAGCCTCAAAATTTTTCTGAATAATTCACTCTCAGAATGGTTAACCATAGAGGACCTAAGTTTGAGTTATACAAATTAACTTGCGTTAACACCTCACGCAGATAGAATCTTTGCCAAAGTCGCACAAATATGTGAGTTCATATCACACGTCGTAAATGAGGCGAAGACTTCACCGAATGTTTCTCCTTCCTGTCCTCGAATACTGCTGTCCTTTCTTTGGTTTAATGAACGCCGGTGACCGTAGTACAATCAAAGGTTTTCAGAGGGTCATCGCCCGGATATTGCTCTCTCCAGTCGCAATACGTACTTCTTATTCTCAGAGATGTCAGCTGGCGAACAATAAGTTTTTGTGGGTTAGAAGACTCGACGCTGGACTGTGCTTCTTTTATTGCATTAACTTTAGCTCTAATCTTCCGCTCATTGACATTCTCACTCCGAAAGATCAGTCTTATGCCACCCGCAACTCCTCCATGGCGATTACGCTGCCTCTTTGAACTACATCTAAGCGCTCCCTCTTTTTGGCTTCCAAATATGCCTTCCTTTCGAATATTCTTCCACCAGAAACTAGGTCATTTCGTAAGATACTTGTATTCAAGTCGAAATTTCTCAAATATATTACACCGGAAATGTCAACGGCACTGTTAACGGTCTCAAATTCGAACGCTCAGCTTGTGGACTTCAGGAAGGGTCCTCCTGGGATTTATTAGCAGATCAAGTGGAACTTTACAACCCTCTGTTTTTAATTGGCTGATAAATCCCCTGCTACCGCTCCGTCCCTACAGTGAAGAATTTCGCGGCTCTTGATGTCATCTCCTCATCTCGATCTGAAGCGGTCTGTCAACGCTCATGGCGGAACCCTCTATTCTCTTTGTCCACTAGTAATTTGGTCGTACCTGCCTTGCCCACGCCTAGACTGAACTGGAAGTGGACTGGAATCGATCGCGTCTGGGTTCAATTCAATTATTTTTATTAAAGACCCGTCGGGATCCCATCAAAGCAAGTAAAAATAAATTTACATGCAATTTTAGACGAGGTAGGCAAAATCTGTACAAAGTACAATACACAGTTTTTGAGATTAGAAGTCTGTTAAGCAAAATGAAAATGAAAAAAGCGAGGGGTGAAAAAAAACTCCAAAGCAAAATTTAAAAATGATTGTAGTAATTTAACAGGAGAAGAAAACCCCTCAGAAAAATAGCATCAGAAAAATACAGGGAGGACTGGCCTGCATGTGGCGGTACAGAATGGAATATAGTCCGACATCTACATGGCCGAAATAAATGCCAGCTGTATATGTATATGTATATCTCTTATCTCGCCACTTTGACGCGAAAAATCTCATCCAATGTGTGAATTCTGCTCATACGATGTCCGTTTTGAATCTTTTATGCAGAAAAACACACAGACTGGTCCTGTCTGACCCGCATAATTACCCCTCGTGGCTGACATTTATTTCTGCACTGATAATGTCCGCTTATAATACGTTATACGCTGCCACATACAGGCCGGTGCTGTGCGCATTTTTATCCTTTTATGAGCGACAGTTTTCTTCTCATTTAAAGTTAATTCAATCACTATTATTATTATTCTAAAATAGAGTTTTTCACCACCCGCTCATCATTTTTATTAACGGACTACTTATTCAATAACTATTTATTGCATTTTGTATAGATTTTGTCTGCTTTGTCTGAAATTCGTATGGAACTATATTTTACTTGCTTTGATGGGACCACGACGGGTATTTAATAAAATTATTTTATTTAATTATTTTGCGCCATTCAGCGACAGAAAATATCGTTTACTAGTGTGTTCGAAAACTGTACTAAACTAATCTGCATGCCACAATATCAAAAGAGTCTTATATCGCACGCGAATCTTGAGAAAGTCCCTTTGCTAACTCCCTGTCAAATTACTATTCTTTATAAATTACTCTAGAAGGGATATCTAAGTAATTAACTGGACAGAAATAGCTTTAACGACTTTTCGAAAGGATGGTGAGCGACTGAAGGTTATAACGCGAAAGAGTCTAAAAATTCGACATCATAGCAGGAAATATGGACTACTCTGCCCTGCAAATCCCTCACATCCCACCTTTTGTTTAAATTGGCAATAGTGGATCAATGAGTTTACCCTCACGCCCTTCGTTTAGAGGCGCGCCCTACAATACTGCAGAAATGTCGAAGCACATGAGCCTTGATTTCTTTGCGAATGCAGAATACAATAAACTAAATAATTTCTATAAAGATAACTCCACACTTTTGGCAAGGTAACTGCTGGCGAGAATGCACTTTTGAGTCTTCGTGTAAGCATTTCGGCATCCTGATGCTTAAATGGTTGCATATGCGTAGGCAAATTAGGTTTCTGAATTTAGAAAGCATTATTTTTTTAAATAACTCAAAAAGCGTCCGCGATCTTTTAATAAACGACCAATAATGCGTGCAACATCATGATTGCCAGTTTTCATCCTTTGTTATTGACATACGGATACTTCCCTGCCAGCACATTGCCCCTTCATAGGCGGGGCTGGAAGGGGCTGGGTGGGGCCAGAGCCCCGCCTGCCAGCACATGGCTCCTTTATAGGCGGGGCTGGAGGGGGCTGGGCGGGGCCAGAGCCCCCTCTGGATTGAAACCTTTTGAAGCGTATTTGCATCGAAAGATATGTTCCAAAAGCACCACTTATTGTACCTTCTTTGGAATTTAAAGGAGCTAATTTATCAAAATTGGCTTATAAACCATGGAGAAAGCATCCGTTTACGCCCACTGAATGTAGCTGCGGATGAGCACAATATATTGAGGTTTTGTTTAAGTCCCTCATTGCTTAAACTCTTATTTGTCCACCGGTTTACAATCTGTGTGTGTTATTTATTCGTATATTTGACAATGGGGACGATATTTTAAAGTGGTGCCAAAAGTGGGCTGGGATGTGGCGTCCCCTGCGCATTTTTTTGTTGCTGGCGGGGCTAGGCGGGGCTATCGCGTTGCATGCCCCGCCACAGCCCCCTCCACAGCCCCGTCTAGCCCCCTCATAGCCCCCTCTAGCCCCGCCATTATTGAGGGGGCCAGGCGGGGCTAGGCGGGGCTGGTGCTGGTGGGGTTAAGTAACCGCGATTGCGTCGCATAAGGCGGGGTTAGTCTAGCCAGTACGTGTGTTCGGTCGATTTGCTACATTTGCGCGTTACAAGATGATTCATGGTTTTCGAGGATTACACTTTAGGCCACAGGCCTGATATCATAAAGGGTATCCAAGGGCAGCGAAAAACGACGTCCTTCTGCGCACTTTTCGATGAAGAGGTCACAGGAGCCTACATCAGCCCGTACCAATGGTACGGCATGCCATAGCTCTGCCCAGTAACCTTTCAATCCCCACGGAGATAGTATGCGCTAGTGTTGGGATGGTGTTGGTAGAGAAATGTCACTTAAGCCAGTTGGGCAACTGTTACGTACTTGATTGTCCTAATTACAATCAGAATACTTCAGTTCATTTCATATAGTCCACATAGGAACTACCTAGCAACACTTATGTCGCGCATTTTATAGGACCAAGCGCCTAAGCATTGTGCTTGCAAGAAGGACACACTGTTTCTAAAATTTACACAAACGTGTGTACAATCATAAATATATCAATCGTTGCTGCACAATATTCTGCGGAGGAAATCGATTATATTTTCATGGTAAGTAGTCGTAGAAACTTTGTCAATAAGTGTACGTTTTGGTTCTGCGAAAAGGCATGGTGTAATTTTAGTTTTGGCTTGCAGGCCCGTTTTGCAGGGAAGCGGGTTTGTGACGTTTGGACATCTAGATATAATTTCAAAAAAGTTGTTATTTCAGTAATTTTTTATATCGTGTCCAAATTTGAGCATTACTTTATTGAAGACTTTGAAGTTTGGGTCGATAATTCCTTAACGCGACAGTAACATTCAAAGATTTGTAACGGTTTTGAAGATGTAATATGTCAATGAGTTCTCTAAACATATTATATCAGGGGAGGCAATATGCAAATGATGCAGAGAAAGGTCAAAGCCAAAACCAGTAATGCAGATGACTGAGCAAAAAACAAAGGACATTGCAGGCTAGAACAAAATTGCAAGTACAAATAAAGAAAGAATAGAAGGCTAGCAGGCAATTTTAAAAGGACATAAAATGTGCATGGAAAAAAGCTGCTGTACAGAAAAAACTAACCGGATTATAAAGAAAACTTTAAAACGGAATTACAACAATGGGCTTAAACCAAAAACGTGTTGTTCTGTCTATTTGTATAATAAGAGGTTGACTGAGACATTGATCATCGCCAAGACATGTGCAACTTCAAAAATTGACTTGCGTTACTGTCAGCAAACGATCCCATTCTCAAAAGAAACTATTTGTTATCAACGCGTGTCTATTAAGCTCTACCGTCTTCTACATTGCCCGCAAGGTGAAGATGAGATTAATGATGTTTGGGCCGTGTCTTGGTTCGCAGGAGCTCCGATCGGCCCGGCGATGGGAAACCTTCGCCCTTCGGGAGGCCTCTACGTATTCGTGTCTTGGTTTATCAACACGCTACGTGCATGCCAGCCGTGAAGCTTTTGACTACCTATAGGGCTTGCAAGACTACTGACTCTTTTACTGAAGAGCAATGATACAGGTTTTTAAAAACGCTTGCTTTCTTAGCCCTTCTGATGAATGTTGATAGAGTTTACCAAAAAGAATATTCGTAATAAAACAAAAAATTTAATAAATCCAAGTTTTTGAACTTTGACAAAATCCAAGAAAACTGAACCAAATTTATCCCGATCTAGACGTACATACATCCCTTACACCATACTCGCGCTAAGAGTCGTAGTATACTTAGCGTTTTATGATGCGATCAAGAACTCCTGTATGTAGAGCAGAAACGTCCAGGTTATTAAGATTTTAAAAACACGTTAATATCAGAAAGAAGTCTTTGTATTTTCTGGTGGCATTTCGGAGATACTTTTTATTTTTACATGACAGATTGGACCCAAAAATACTTTTGTCTATTACGACAGTGTGTAGATTCCAGAAAATTTGGTACAAAAGTGTGGTATTATGCAAATTTACCACATAGCATTAATCGATCCTCGAAATTTGTTAACTCAATTCGAGCTTGACCTTACAGTTCTAAAACGCCCTTAAACGGGGAGTGGTTGCTTAAAACACCTTACACGTATTTTATATACACGAATGTGAAGGCACGAGAGTAGTAATATTAGGCTTTTAAGGAACAAATCCATAATCTAAGAAAATATGTTATTAACTGGACGGAAGCGGATGGTAATTAATAGTGTGATTGCTGCCAGCAGTGGAGTAGGTTATTTGATAACATTTTAGCCGCAGTTGTTTGTTTTTAATGTGAAAACTTTTTCAAAAGTAATATTTTACAGGACTTGAACACGCATACTCCTCTGAAAAAGCGCCTTGTCGGCTTATAAGCAACCTGTGCAACGCTCTTACGTACTTCTCCATGGAAATTGACAGTTTGCTACCAGGAATTTAAAGCCATTTAACAAGGTGCCCATATGGCAAGTACTTAATAATTTTAGACACTCACTGTCCTAAGATTGACATTTTAAATACCTTTGGGGGAAAGCTGCGAATATAGTAAAAGTCGAACTAAGGCAAGGGTGATTTGAATCCCGTACCGCTGGCTTGTTCATTTCCAGAATGCTTGTTTGATTACATAATTTTGATTAAAAAAATTAAAAGATTTTCCATTCTTTTCACTTTGCGAGGTAAAATATAACTAGGCGGGCATTTTCCGATGTTGCTATTTAGCCTACGACGGCCTTCGTGCTTACTTCATAACCCTTATGCAGAAAAACATCAATTCGCTACTCATCTCATGCATACTCTCTTGGTCGAGCTTTGTCTGCCAAAGTAACTGATTTTCATAAGACATCCAGCAGTGTCATATCAGAGAAAACTTTCCATTCATTCTCATCATTAAACCGTCAAGCGTCACATATCCATGGTGAACGTTGAACCTGCAACATCTGACCATATGACGCAAAGTCCGTAAACCTATCGTTTAGAAATGGTGTGCAACTCTTGTGAATAAAGAACACCAAGTAACCGTAGGTTGTCGTTGGATAGCACTCGTGGGGTTTTAAAATCTGAAATGGATTCTGAGACAGACGAAGGTCACTTAACGCACACGTCCCAGAAGCCTAAATTTGAACGCGTATTCAACAGTATGATTTCGAAGTCCTAGGTAACGTTTGATGCTCACTTAAGTAAGCTGTTAAGACAATACTGACTGACAGATGTTCTTCCTAGATTACATGGAAGCTTATTTAAGGTATAGCACAATTTTGCGCCTAAAAATCTCTCAACGGAAATAAGAAGTCGACAAAATCTCTTTTTTGAAGAAATGCGGTGATAGAGACAATTATTTACACGTATTTTTATAATATAACGTTTCTCGAAAAAGTTTAAACATAGTAACAGTTTCGTAAATTCCCTGTAAATAACAGTTGAAATAACTTTAACCTGAAGATTTGTTTTCTTTCATAGAAAAACTAGTGAGGTAAACATAGCACAATAAATTGCTTGTTCAGTCTGGCTTTACAAATACCTATCCAAAATAGAAGTTATTCTAGGAAAGTTCGTGCCGCTACTGTTGTGTCAAATACGTTTCGGGAAGGTCTGCAAACACCTTCTAAATGTGTTCATGTTTAAATATGATTTTATATAGAGAACCTATTAAAGTGAAAGTGGAGAGCCTCTCCATTTCCATGATTTTTTTGTGCTTCCAATGTGCATCGGATCCAAAATTCATTAGTAAAATGGAGAAAATACGAATATTTATACCCGCCTTTGCCGTTATCTTATAAGCTGAATGCCACTAATATGCAGGAGAAACAGTCTGTATTTGGGCCCTTTATAGTGAATTAGGAATGCGGATTCATACTTGGGTGTCTACACCAAGTTCAATTGGCAGAACAGTTTTTTAAACACAGTTATGCCACGCTAGAATATATTTTAAGCGGTTCGTTTATTATTGCATGCTGTCGATAAATAATTTATCTTAGAATGTCTGCGGCATCTTCTCCGTAAATATTTGAGTTATCTCGTAAATGCTCTTGAGCGCCAGTAAATTGTTCTATTTGTTGGCAGATTCTCCTAGTTTCGCGGTAGCTTAATATTTACCAGTCGGTAGTGTGATTTCAGTTAAAAATTGCATTATCCAAAATTGCCGCAGTAACAATTAAACGTGGTTTCTCATAGTCCTATATCTTAAACCAACATTTCGGATATATAAGTACAAATACACAGTCAATCTTTCTTGCACCGCCTTATTCATTTGCATCACGTCATAGATGCACATATAGCAAGGTAGTTTAAAGGTTACATATAAGGCTGATAGTTTTTAATATGCAGGAATATAATAGGTCTCAGTTATTAAGCCTTTAAAATGTGGTTTTATTCCGTCTTATGTCAACATTAGACAACTAAAAATAAAATTTTTCTCATAAATAATTTTTTCCTGATTTTATAAAAATGCCTGAAGGATCAATTACAGAGAAGCGTTGCTGCATTCTTTGCTGCGCCGACAAAATCAGCGTTGGAAACTAACTCAGACGGATCGTTGCCGGAATTTAATAACAGAAAATTCTGAAATCTGTTCATCATCCGTTGAGCCTCTGCAAGTTAATGACATGGTTAAGTTTATACTTTCAAATTTTCTATGTATATAAATTAAACCTGATGTCCATTCATTTAGGCGGTTTTGGATATGTTATAGATGGTTGCTTATACGCAAAATACATTCTGGATACCCGTTGGCTTCGTAAAAACTGGCGTGACCACTGATTAGAAAAAACGTCTGTTCTTCAGTTGTAAAGATAAAAACTATCAGAGGATAATATCGGAAAATGATATAAAAATAACTTTTAAAAAGACGCCTAGTATCATTTCATTTAATAATAAAAACAATTCTTCCATTGTAATTCCAAAAAAATTCAATAAGTCGGTTTTTGGATAAAATATTGCAATAATACATTTTGTCCTCAAAATGCAACTTTAATATTTTCATAATAGCAAAACATTTAAGAAACAACCTGTTTTTTGAGCAGACATTAAGTTGCGTTGGTCACTTGCCCTATTTTACATCCTTGTTTTTTGGTATAATAACTTGTAAAATTCTGACACTGTGCTTTAACCGTTTCAAGGACAGCAGCGGAGATTTCTGCATTGAAATATCTGAAGCTATTCATAAATTGCAAATTTCGGGCGAAGAGATATCGGCAAATGCGTCGAGTATAGCCGAAAGCTTACAAACGGTTTTCCTCTCAACGCAAGAAAATGGAGAACATCGTAGAAAATCCCTTTGGCAAGGTACGGTCAGCCCAGCTTATTTGACCCATATTCTGTGGATATCATACCAAACAAAGAATTTTTCAAATGATGAGGTCACCTAAGCAAAGGCACACGCAATAAATTACTTAAGCAGTACAGGTTAAAACAATTATCAAATAATGATAAAGATTAGTAACCGTTGGTTTATTATATGTTACTTTTTCTACACCTTTACCTAGATAGTTTATCATATAAATTTTTATCTTGTACTTTGTTACAATGCACCTCTTCGGAGAAGTCTCTTTGGTTGGAACATTTAGTAAGAACAGTTCATTAAAAGAAAGATGTGATTTTGAAAAAAGGAAACTATAGGTCTTACGAATTAATTTGCTTTCCCTAAAACCGTCTTTTAAGGCCCGTATTTCGCTTTCTTAGTGCGAAAATCTGCACAAGTTTGTCAGTTTCCACAAACGGACCATACCAACCCCCGGTGAAGACGTTACGGCTGCGTAACGTCAGAAAATCAAATCGCTGTAGTTGGAAGTTAACTCTAGTGGCGACCGATAATTCGATTTCCCAAAGAAAAGCGTACATTCAATCAGAATGAAGATTTTAGCTGCGACGTTCTATAAAACTACTTACAAATAACCAAGAATAAGCAAAGTGCAATCCTCCACAGGGGATACTCGTACAGACCAAATGATTCGGCCCACATCAAACGCCTGATGCCATTCAACAAAATGTATGTTCTAAAGCGAGGGTCGCACCCATGTACAACAACAGCTTCAAGTGTAAAGGGTCCAAATGTTCAAGGACAAAACAGAGAACATAGGGTACGGCATGCAAATAAGTCGGATATAAAAAGACGGAGGCACGACGTCTAAAACAATGGCTTTAATGGTCTTGGCTTTCGAACTTGAGCGGGAGTTGATAATCAGAAACTGTTAAAGTGCAGCAAAGTGTAAACATTTATACCGTTTTACCGTGAGGGAGGATTACGTCCCAAAGGATATAAGTGGGGAATTTTCAAACTTGTTCGAAAGAAGGTAATATTAGTATTCGTTTTCACTTTGTCTTACAAAGGGCAGCAAATTCTGAACCTACTAGGTTTTAGTCCTTCGAGACACTGTGACGATCCCACTATTCGTGGAGTGTCCTGCGATTCTGCAAATTCTGTTCTCGGATTTAAGGACAGACAGAATCAAAGTGCCACCTCGGTGCTCCCCTCTGTGACGTCTATGGAGGTAAGTCACACAATAACTAGTTAGGCAGCATTTTGTGGTGAATTCTAGGTGGAGTACTTAAGAAAACCCGCTTTGAAAGTCAGCTTGGTTGTTCGATTTGATGGATTCCAGACGTTGCAATAGGCTAAGCGGTAACTTGACCCAAATGTGGTTAAACTCACGTCTTCCGGTGGGGCCTCGTAGCCCAAGCGGCTAAAGCGTTGGCTGTACTGAAGCCTTCACCTTGCTGTCGTGGGTTCGAATCCCACCGGGTGCCGAGTTTTTCACATTCAAGTTGGTGTGAAGAATAATATTATTTCTTCTGGGCGTCTTTTCGCACTAAAACTCGAAGTCGGAGGTCTTGATAAAAAATACCCGACAATGAAGAATCCTGGTGGATATTGTGAAACGTTGACTGCACATAAACTTCAGTAATTAGATCATGCTGAGTCGCACACACTCTATTGCCCACTTTCCGCCAAAGGTGCTGAAGTCAATGCCGTTACCGCTCAAATAAGACCAACTTTCAAAATGTTTAATCTGTACTATCTTTATGATGCTTTCGAAGCGCGATCCGTAGTTTTCGGAGTCCTCCATGTTCAGTAGAATGTCCTATATCTTCCCGTTTCCAACATTCCCAATATCACGCTGGGTGCGATAATTTAGCCTCGAAAGAAAACGCTCATACTAAAGCAGGGAATGTATTCTAAACCCTGATGCGCCAGGGCTTTTTATGTTGAGATGTGTTTCTGAAACTGCATCTAGACATACCACCATGCATGCTTATCGATTTCGTGTGCCACAAGAGGAGGTGGGTGCGGGACGTTAAGTTGCGCATACATTAGATTATATCGGCGACCAACTTGCGCAGCGTCGTCCGCACTATTTCCTCTCTCATTCACATGAGACAATTGGATAGACATAGTCAGGAATACCGAAGGTGTGCTCGGCCCCAACCATGTTTTGTGCGCATGAATTGAATGCCTGTTAGAGACTAGTAGTTGCGCTACATAATATTACACGTGATGCTACCAATCTGCCGCTGTAGAAAGGTCCGAGTTATTATTTTTCCTACTTTTGTAGAAGCATCCGCAAAAACCTGGCGAAGATGGCAGGGAAATAACGAAAAACAGTTTTTTGGTGTATGGTGACGCTATGAGGTCGCCTCGTGTACCTCATAGGTTACGCACAACGTTGGCGTCTTCCTTTGAAAGCATTTACGATGCTGTCCTAGACCAAAGGTAATAGACGACATTTCACTGTTCCCCGAAAAATGGACAGCGGCCAGTTTATCTAGACCTTATTAATGCATGTTGTGATATTTTGGCAGTTTGTCAGTTAGGGCCGTATTTTGATAAAAGCAAACTTGTTTGCATATTTTAAAAAATTCTAGCAGTATTGGGAGCATCTTTTCTTACAATACTCCCGGTGGTTCATGTTTTAGAGGTGGACATATCGTTTACCCAGAAAAAGCATAAGTATGAACGAAATATTTTTCCCTTGGACTGGAATTAGGTATTCGGGCAAAATGTGTATTACACACGTCCGTCTCGCCATGAACGCAGAGGAAGTACTGCGTGTGTGGCTAACTTTAGTAATATATTATTAGCAAACGTGAAGTGAAAACGTTTAAAACTCCGGTTTTAATATTCAGTAAACTCGTTCCTTTCGTGATAACTTTGGCATTGGATACATCCGAAGTCTTTGAGCCGAACTAAAATAAGAGAAGTTTAAATTCATTCCAAAAATTATTGCAGAGATACTACCAAAAACGTTTAATTTCGTCGATCCAAAACCGAATATTCGCCGTAAAGTGCTAGTGTAGAACAATGTAAGTTTCTCCAAAACCTAGAAAGTTATTATTTTTAAAGAGAAAACCAATTTTAATCGTGCCTACTCCTTCGATACTATATATGAAAATAAGAAATCATAAAGGCTTCAATAAAATAATTATTACGCTCATATCCCAAGAATTTTTGATGCGATTTGCGCGTTTGAAATGTCATGTCAAACGCCCTTTAATTTGATCAAGCATAATGCAGCACAATAAAGACTGTAAACAAAATTGGCATTGGAAAATGTAAATTATACCTCAAAATCCCTGACATATTTATACCCACGCTTTTGTGAAATACTAAATACACGTATTTGTGGAAGTTTTGGAATGAACATTAAAGAGCCACTGGGAGGTGGAAGTAAAAAAATAAGATTTTCACTTACAATACCGTAAAAGTGGTCACAGCGCAGACTGGCTTATGAAGGCCTCGAATAATGTTTTAGCCATAAGGATTTTAGGGAAATTTTGCACGCAGTTTTACTCCTTTAGCATCCCTGTTTAGCATGACCTGTTTGTTTTTTTGTACTGTGGACCAGTTCTCTGCCGCCTGCCTCAAAGAAGTCTGACGGATTTCTGATCAAAAAGACGATTCCTCTATCATGATCTTTTCAAAGGTTTCAAACTAGAATTTACTACGGAAATTTCAACTTTCTACGCGTTATTTGCTGAATAATTTTTAATGTTTAATTCTGCATTTGTGGTCAAAGTTGCTGCAAACAAAATAAAAATTTTTTTTATCGGTAAACGGATGCTTCACGCCTAGGCATCTACTTAGCCATTTATAAGCCGTAATCCAACAACGAACCAACGAGGTATATGCGCCTCTTTAGGGATGAAATTGGGATCTCATTTTAACGCTAACAAAGACGCGTACTGAAAACATGAACTTCGTGTACATAAGCATATCGTAGTTGTGTATTTTGGCGAATAATGTCCTTGCTGCAGTAATTATAAACAATATGTCAGTTCTTGGACTTGGGACGCTGCACATATGGCGGTTTTGGTGTTAGATGCGGGGAACTGGATACAGGCAGAAAACGTAAACATCTCATTTTTAACTGGGTAATTTGGGAAGCTCAATATAAATACTTAATGCGCCATGTTATTTACACAAACGCATATCGCCTATTCAGACGGATACACAACTGGGATCATTACTTCTGATAAGGTATGTCTTTTGGCCTTTGTCAACCAAAACAAGCACCACCTATTTACGTATTTCAGCTGACCGTTCAGAGTTACTCAGTGTGTAACAATAAATTCACTCATAAAATAAAAGTCTAGAATATCGAAATATCCGGACCTAAAGTTGTTCTTTTGAGCTGATATAGTGCTATTGATCCAGACACCTGTTTCAGCGTTAAGCAAGGTATTATTTTATCCACTTCCGAGAGTGGCAGGCGACTAATTGTGACATCGTCGATGTCGAAACTTCATACAAGACATAACGTCGGTGGGGTCTCGTGGCTCAGGTGGCTAGAGCCTTGGCTATGCTAAAGCCTTCCCATTGTTGTCGCGGGTTTGAATCCCACCGAGGCATTGAGATTTTCAAAGTTGGGTCAAAATGAACAGTAACAGTTAGCAACACGCATTAGCCTTATGCAATATTGCACAACCTAATCGGATATTGTTAGTCTCAACCATAAGGAGACACTGCTGTTCAAAGCGCTGTGTGCTTAAGCAGCTTTAAGAATAAAAGAAAGACCTGCAACAAAGAATTCGGGCCTTATGCGGAAGTGGTGTGCATTAAGCTGATCTTAATACGAGACGAAAATGAGCATTTCAATGTTGCGTTATAGTATATCGCCATGTAATCACCTGCGAGGAGCCGACGCCAGCGGAAAGCAAATACATCAGTTTCTGTCCGGAAATCAAGGTAGCACGGGAAACGAGCCCTTAAGACAGTGATGAGGGCGTCTCTCAATAGTCAGCCGGTTGGGGTCCAAAGCTCGAGCTCGTGGCCTAACTTTGGTGCCCCCCCGACTGATGACAGCAACTAGCCACTACCAACCATTCCTGTTTCTCGGTCTCTGTCGGCAGGATTTATAGGTTTCTGAGTGTAAGTGAAAGTATTCATCCACTATTTACATTCAATGCAGGCACGTGCACGCCGACAAACAAGGGAAATAAAAAGACATTCGTTCAATAAGCATACGACTAATAACTCGCTCTGAGAGTCTTGCTAGAACCACCAATCGGGAACTGCTTCTTCCCTTGAGGCAATGTCGGTATTTTAAACATAAGATGACAAAGCTGCTTGTTTGCGTGTTGGGTTGTCAGGCCTTGGTTTTTTAACAACTTGATGATCTTTAGTCTTAAAACTAATAAAACGTTTAGCTGAAATTTCATTAAAAATGTTTTAATTATAGTTAATAACATTGTCCTCGGGGAGCTGGAGAATCAATACTCCCACCGCAAACGTTGTTGTGGGCATGAATCAGCAACTTTTGTATTACCTTCGGTTTATTAACTGTGCTATGTTATAAACCTTTCGTGTGATGAGATATTTGTGACACGGAAGGCAATTATTTGCCTCTCCACCAAAGATGGGCGCATTTATATTGCTACGTGATCCAGACATTGCGGCGAAGGCAATGCAAAAACGACTAGTCCTACGGGCAACCTTAGTAGGTAACTAGGCATTAGATTTGCCCAGCATATCGTCTTCTTTGCGTGAGCTTTGCATATAAGCGTGTACTTTCAAAAAATGATGGAGTGCGGACTATGATGTCATCTTTAAAGATTGTCTTAAGATAGCAGTTTCTGTCATCCATTGCCAAAGCACAAGAAAAAACACTATACCAGTAATATCGTGGAATACTGTTGACATCATATGAAGTTCCCAAACTTTTCCTGGCAAACAAACAAGAGACTTAAGGAACTATAACAACATTTTTCTAAAAAATCATTTAAACTAAGATTTGAATAGCGTGACTCCTTCGTTTTTCAAGTGCCTCAAGCACTTTAAACCGATGCCAAAAGCGAATAGAAACGCAAGTTGTCTCGCTTTATTGACCAAAACTTTAAGAATTAGATTAAGATAAGTCGAGAAGAATAGCCTCTCGTGTTGGTTGTGAGATAAAGTTCGATAATCACTTTTAATTGATGGATACAATACATAAGAAGAAATAAGTTTCATCCGAGACTTCTGGCATAGTTTGAGTTCTATTTGAAGAAAATAACATGAAATTTTATTTTGCATCGCCCTAAAACCGTAAAATATTCTTAGGTCTAATTCAGAATAGTTTGCCTGCCAAAACACTGCTGAGAACAAAGAAGCCTTGACCCTTAAACATCTGCTATCACACAATTTTCTCACCCTGAATCATGCATAATATTGGAACAGTCGGCTATTATAAAGGATGCAGTTCACAGGTTGTTTATGCAAGCAGAATTAATTAAAAGAAAACTAACTGTGTTCTGATAGCTTCCACGCGACAACGCATAATGTGCTGTTCATGTAAAGAGACGTTTGCCTGACTATATTTATCGCCTTATTGTGTTTGTTTATATAGCATTCGACGATATTTTACTTACAGTACCTGTGCTAACTCATGAAATGTCACGAATTATCTGCATTTCCCTGATTTTGTTGATATTGAAATTTAATTTTTTTCTTTTTGTTCGAAAGTTTATTAAAAAATTTCGTCCTTTTATTAATCCTCTTAAACAGATTAATAAGGTAACACAAAGAATTTCCATCCGAAAGCTTTAATAGCGTAGGAAACTGCTTGAATATCAGGAATCCTCCGATTTCGCCTAAATCCACCACTTTTTTATTTAATATACAGATCCGTATCAAACTTTCCTTCAGAAAACGGTCTTTTTGTCCTTATTTCAACTAAATAAACACAAATAACGAAACCAAAAATACGCTACATTTTCCACTATAATTTTGACCTCGGCATTTCATGAGTTAGCACAGGTACTGTAAATCACTTAGCAGTCGTTACTTTTGTCAAAAGCCAAAATGTAACTGGCATCATGATTCAGACCGACGAACCAACATCTGCATGCACTGTTAGATCAGATTGAGGATGTGGAAGAATGCAGTGCATAAGGAAATTAATCACTTCCTATCAACGGGATATATTTCAACATCAAAAATGCTTAGTTGCTGATCTCTTTGTAGAACGTGAAATAACAAAAGAGTCAATTAAATCATACCACTTCAGTAACATTTTGTCAAGTACTATAGGCCAGAGGATTAAAAGCTTGAAACCATTACTTCCAGGACGTGGCCCTTTTGGAACACTTACAACGAACTCTGCTTATTGGAAGTGCCAAACACTTGGCAATCCTAACAAATCATTTTTTACTGTAACATTATTTTTGGTTTAGTGTTGTCAACTGTTTGTAGTTGGAAATTATCTTTGGATATCTGCTGTGACACTGATTTTGGTAGATCATTATCTAGGCCTTTGTGACTGAACAGGATATCTGTTGAGAAAAATTTCTAAATGATCCTTCATGTGCTACAGAGAGATAGCAGCGTGCACAGGGTATCTGGAGTATATCAATTCTGCTGTATAGCAGTGACTAACAAGGTGTATTTGTGGAAACGTTGGTGCGTTTTCTTTAACTTTTTAAAGCAATAGTATGCATAAAAAGGGAAAAGCAATTAAAAAAGCCTACTTAAAATATCTTGAGATAGCGAGGGCTTTTCAGTTACGCAGTCTTAACCCTGAATTTGCCTCAGAAACAAACATGAACAACAACAACTGTAACAACCGGTATAATTTTTGGGTTAGGTGTGGCTTAAGTAAAAAAGATTTGCCAATATATCTTTAGACAGACGTCCTTTTATTAGGAATGTTCTATTTGCTCACGCAATAGCTTGTAAGAGGAAAAAAGTAACATTAAAAGGATGATTAAAGGAATGAGGAGGTTAGTTAAATTTAACGCATAGCATTCAAATATATACGCTTATCTGGAAATGTGTTTAGAAAAATATTAAAGATATTTTCGAATTCAAATCATTCAAAACAACACGAAATGCGTCCTGGTTAGACTGCAAAATACCCCGAAATTGTTTTAAATCTTACTTGACCATACGACAAGTTCAGTGTTCTGAAATTTTGGTAATTATCAAGCCTGTAGCAAAAAAGTATGACCAGGCGCAATCGAAGTTATAAACGCGTCACAATTCTGCAAATGTGGAAAAAGGACAAATCAAAGGAAGTTCGAAAACATTTGATACTGCTTATTCGAATATCCATATAAAAGAAGACGGATTTTCTAGGATAAGCCGAGAAAATTGCCAAAAACAGACAAAGCTCTTCAAATTGTGAGGTTCGTATTAATGAAAACAGCGTTTATGAACTGACTTTTGTAAAAAGGCGAAAACGAAATCTAAAATTAGGTTTCAGGATATTTTAACTGGGCGTGAACGTTCAATGTTTGTTCCGTTATTGCTAAGCTATTTTAAATATGTCAGGTTCAGTAAGGGAACTTTCGCATTTTACGTTTGTCGCTTTTTGACGAAAAAGCCATATTTCATGCGGTCGGTCTACAAAACACTTAAGAGGAAAAGATGGCTATCAAAAGTTATCTAACTATCAAATGAGCAGACTAAATATAAAAAAACCCAACTGAATTCAAGA